GAGTTCGCTACCGAACTCCTGTTCGCTGCCTTGTCACAGGCTGTGCTAAAGATGGAACCACAGGAGCTCATTGCTAGTTGATTACAAACTTGTGAGGTCACTCTGTGCTCGTGATTTACGTAGTGTCTAGGCTGTACTCCAGCTGTATAGCGAGTTGATGGCACAGGCAGGTTTCTTGTCTCACCCTAGGAGGCTAATCATGCCTAATTCAGGGTAGCGGCAGGCAAACATCCATCGTTCGACAGTATATACTACACCCCAATCTAGTCCCGAGCCCCAATAGTCCAGTCGCGAAGAGTCAACATGTCGGTCGATCGTTGAAACGTCTGCTGCTATGGGAACCGCGCAGCTCAGGGACTGTGCTCGAGTGCAGGCTATTGTGTCTGATGACCGTTCGCGAAATCTTGCTGGGGTGAGAAAGACTGCAGCTTTTGCGTAATTCTCCGCTCTCGCCGGTAATCCTGAGTTGAAATAGTTCGCATGGCCTGGATTCCAAAACCGCAAGCCTAAGACCTCCGTAGTGCGCGAGAACATATAGACCCGCAGTCCGAAAGCCCAAGCCCCAAAGAACTGCCGACCAGAAGCCTATAAACCCTGCCAGACTTAAAGAACCTGTAGCTGTGGGCGCCAAGACCCTGAACCCCGATCGAACCCTATATCCTCAACACTCGAAAACCCCTAAAGTACCTTAAACCCAAAGTCCTCGATCCTACTATAGGGCCGATCATCCACCAACCTTTTACGCAAAAGCTAGCTGAAAAACATGAAACCACGCAGGTTCAGAAGATGACCGCTACATCGGGGAGAATGTCTATGTCTTCGTGAGAAAGTACGGCAAAGGGGTCTGGGCCCCACAGATCGGACGTGAGTATGGAATTCTATAGCCAAGTAGATCAAACGAATATAGAGTTCAGCAAGCTGTCGTGAGTCCATGCTACATGATGCACAGGCTCTTGCGTGAATCTGTCTTCCTTGCTTGATGCTTGCGTACATGCAGTCTTGTGCCGCCGTGGATCTCAATTTGCAGGTTTATGTATTCAGAGGTTGTAGTTTATTGGGCACGGATGCACACGCTTCAAATGACGCAATCGGCATACTTTCCAAGAGCTTCAGCGTAGAATGAGTTCGGCACGCTACCATGTTTTCCCATGGAGCGAATCAGAGGATGAAAATCCCTCCACTTCCTCGGAACCCAGCCCAGTTCCTTCAGTGACCAGGGCTCCGTGCCCATGTCAATGTCCGGCTCAGAAGCAGCAGCAGGGCAAGCCAGACCTGGATGTGCGGGTTATCACAGAAGATTCAACTGCTGGTAAAATCCTTTGGCACTGCCTGGATACCGTCAGGGCTATTCAAAAGGAGAACGGGGGTCAGCAATTGTGCGTCTTCAAGATAGGGCTCACTGCCAACCCAACGAAACGGAGGGAGAGTTACCGTCAGCAGAACTTCAAAAGCTTCGTCATCATCCACCAGACCTATCGCTCCGATCTTCTGGGTATGTTGGAAATGTTGGAGGCTGCTGTCATTGCAGAGTTTTACGACAATGGTTACCGATGCCGAAATCGACAACTGGGCGGTGAAAGTATGCGTGATAGAAACCAAGTGCCTCGTTTCCCGCCTCCATACTATGCGTATTGTGCAGCTACCAATGCTTCGCAGAAAGAACCCATTTTGGGTTAGTTGAGATTGGCTGTGTAAGATATAGGGGCGGGGGTGCTGGGTGTGAAAGCACACTGACAAGTCTGCACAATTCGGGCTTCGTGCGTTGTGCAAAAACGATCTTGCTTGCATGGGTTAGTCAGGTCTGGGAAGCTTACGAAGTTCTGCAAGCATGATGATCGGTCGTTGCATTCTATGCAAACTTTAGCTTTTGCAATCTTCTGTCGGCCGAGGTCCCGGCGAAAGACATCGTCCTGGATGCCAGGACCGCGGCGAAGACGGACTCCTGCCCCGTGTTAGCAAGCATCGCGAGAGTGAAAGAATCCAGCGCGGACGCTCCACTCTTCAAGATTTTCAGGGAGCACATGTTGGCACTGCCGGCGCCTATCTCTTTTAAGAAGGTTGCGACCCTGGAACAGTACCCGTATTTGGACCCACGACCTTTTCTTGAAACTTTGAGCGGGAATGGATTTTTTCACAAAGTGCTTGGGGTGCCGGTCCAGTCGGCTGAAGCATGTATGTTATCTTTCTGGGAGAAATTTCGAGAAGTGCATCCCAATCACGGGATATTTTCACAATACATTCCTCTGGGTAACCTCATTCCGTACTACCTTCATGGAGATGGTGGTCGCGGTTACAAAAAGGATCCGATCGAAATCTTATCAATGTTCCCTGCCCTTGGAGCAGGATCCAGGTCGAACCCTGTAGATTTGAGTGGCAAGCGAAAGGCTGATGACTTGACTCTGGGCATCAATCTTCGAGGGAACTCTGGCACAACAAGGTTTTTGTTCGCAGTTCTCAGCAGCCTTGTCTACAAGCGCCATCCAGGAGCTCTCGATGCGCTTTTGGATTTGTGGGGTCAGAAGTTGCAAAGCCTTTTCAGCGACGGATTTCAGGCCATGGGGACTACGTGGTATATTGCGATTATTGGATTCACTGGAGATTCTCCATTTGTCAAGAAAATCGGTCACATGAACCGAAGTTTCCACAATGTTCGCAAGCGGGCTTCGTCTAGGACTAAGGCTTCGCAAACTGGCTGCTGCTGGCTATGCATGGCAGGAACCGAAAACGAAACCGAGAATTACCCGTTCGAACACATCGGGTTCTTCGATCCACTTTGGCTACAGACACGAAGACAAAACAATCGAGTGCCTTGGCAGGGCAACGGCGGCCCCCTGCTGTCGTACATGCAACTGGATCCTGACGACACCCCGTCAGCCTGGTATCGAGCTGATCTGTTCCATGTGTTTCATGCGGGCGTCGGACAAGATTTTACGGCTTCTGCAATCACCTACAGCATGCGGATGTTGTTCAACCTAGGTGGCTTCGACCGAGACCTCGCAGCCTTGAATCGGCTCCTTGCTACATTCATGACATCACAGAAGAAACGCTTGCACTGCGGTTTTTTGTCGAAAGACCTGTTAGGCTACAGCTCCACTCGTGAGTTTCCTGAAGGGAAATGGTCGAAAAACAGTGACACTGCCGTGGTGATGCAGTTCTTGGTTTTTTTTTTGCAGCAGGAAGAGTTCGTGGGCAAAGTGCGAAGCGATCCAATCTTGAATGAAATCTTGGAGGCGGCTCTTGCTATGGGGCGAGCGATTCGCCAATGCTTCCGAGCCGACTACTGGATGTCATCAGACGATTGCATCGAAGTCATCCAGTCGCTTGGTATTGGCAGGATTTTGTGATTTCTCATGGTTGGCCTGTCCTCAAGTACCAATTCGATCGAATAACTGATTCATGAAGTTTAGTGTTCTTTCACTTTGGCTTGGGAAAGTCGAAAAAAAGAAGGAATGGCCACGCTTTCTTGTGCGGATATTCCAATCTTTCAAGCATGTGCTACGAGCAGAAGTTGTGCTTGTTCAAGAACAGACCGAAGATCCACTATCTCAACCATATTTTCCTACGGGTCTACGATGAATGGACAACAGGCGGGATAGCTGTCAATCCCGTCGCCGAAGCAACCTTTATGTCTGAAGACTTTGTTGGGCACACTGCCCGCATATCTCGAAGAGTGGATCCCAGGGCAATCGCTTTGAAGGTACTTCAGCGGTATCTGTGTTGGGCTCAACACGTTCTTGACAAGGATGCTCTGCTAATGCTCGAGCTTTCCTGGCTCGACTAGCTGGAACAAGAGCAACTCGAAAACAATATCAGCCTTTTCTTTTATCGAAGGGCTATTCTATCACAACGAAATCCTGACAAGAACCCTTACTTCCCAGGTTCGCTCCTCGAACCGCCGTGAAGCCAGCTCTCGCAATGGCCGCAAAACGAGGGCCGCAGATAGCTTCGCAAGGCTTTAAGCGGTTTCGCAAGCTTGCGGGTTGATTCGAGGCTGTTTGGGCTTCCGGAAGACCATTGATATTGAGGTTGAAGGTATTTCAACTTCACCATTTACAATGGTATGCCCAACACATCCCCTGCGATCTCAATCCGATGAATTTAGCCATCAACCTGACGAAACCCAAACGCACGAAATTTCAGGGCACGTGCGCTTTTCCTGAGGATTCCGGCTGCGGCTGTTTATTTCCAGAGGTTGGGCTTCACAGGTATATATATATATGTTCGTTTAGCAACTTTCAGCAACATGCGGGCACCGTCTCTGCCATCACCTTTGGCGACTTCAGCTGTGAGACATAACGGACAAGATTCAGGGAAACTTGCTGAACTACGTGAGCCACTTGCAAGAGCGGACAAGCTTTGCTTGGAAGGAACACAGAGCTCGCCAGGCGTCAGCGGCGCCAGCTGTCAGCTCTTCCATGCATCCTTCCATGCATCTTCTTTGAGCTTGCAAATGTTGGTGCTTGCAGCGAAACTCACACGTGTGTCAGACATCTTTGCCCTGTGTTCAGCTCGATGACCGCTGAGAGCGCCTCGTCATGTAAGTCATGACAACTCACTCCTGAAATCTCCGGGAAAGCCTCAATCTTGACATATCTCAGCAGGAATCACAAATTGCATGACGAACGCCTTGACACCGGGTATTTCCGATATGCGCACCGGCTGCATGGCCACTCTTTTCATCAATCTTTTCAGAGAAAGACAACCTACTTTCGGACACATGAACCCAGGATCCAGTTTTCTCAAAGCGGAGGTATGCTTTTACGTCCATACGCTAGGCAGATAGAGAGCAACGACACGATGATGAAAAGGATCGCGACGAGAGCATAGTGATGGGCTTCCCTACCAGCAGCCTCAGTGATTGGCATGGTCTTGGATATCGCCTCGTCGTGGTTCGGACCCATGCATGGTCTGCGGTTAGATGGATGTATCAGAACCCATCCCGAAGATTATGCGGTCATGTCGAATCTGAAACACAGGCCAATTAGACTAGAACGGCACGTTCAGTGCGCAGGATTACACTGGCACACGCGTCTGCCTACAGCAGCCAAGCTTGAAGTCCTTTCAACACAAGACCATGGGACGACCGTGGAACTTGACGATCTTTCGGACATGGCCTCGCTGACTGTCTGCAGCGTGTCCGTGGTCGATCCATCGGAGTTTCTCATCAGCAACGCACCTGCCTGCCACACTGTTCTTGAGGCAAAGGGGTGCCTGTGCATTGTGGAATTGTGGCATACTTGTAGCAGGCAAACCCATCCAGATCCGGAGTTTTAGCATGTCGCAGGCCCTGGAACTGAGCAAGCCAAACTTGAGCCGGTCGGTGCGATCTCGGTAGTCTTTCTGCAAAGGCTGCTTGTGACGCAGACTGTGGTAACTGTAGCAGAGTGCCAGTGTTTCAGACACCACTGACGGACAGATATTCGGTCACAGGCGCGAAGGCTCTGGCCTTGAGCGAGATGAAGTTAGCAACCGCTTTCTCCTCCGTGACAGGATGCTGGTCACAATTTCACAGTGAAAATCGACGAGTACGACTAAGCCATCCGAGGCCGTATCACCGCGAGACCGTATCACAGCGAGGCTCTCTGGGCTAAGAGCCCCACCACGGTTTCGGATGTGCCATAGTCCAGCTCGAACGATGCATGTGCACCTCACGCTGGAGTGGAGGGCACGACTGAACAGACAGAATGGACCTCATCGTGTCGGTTGCAGAAGAAACATGGCACCGGTCATCATGTCAGGATATGTCAGGAATGTCTGATGTTGACCACAAGTCCCAAAAGAGCTCCTTATTGCATCTGTGCGGAGATGCAGTCTCAGCTTGCCTGTTTGCTTGGAAAGCCCGGCCTGAATCCAGCACCATCTGCTTTTTCTGCACGAAGTCGATCTTGTCCATGTTCACAAGCTCGAGTTGAATAGCTGGCCGAAGGCGAGACGAGGCTCACTTTATCTCACTTTCACGTCTATGCCCAGATCTCCGGTTCCAGCTCGTGTCAGACTCAGAAAGGCTCTGTGCAGAATCCGGTGCCAGCCGAGGCAGATCTGAGACGCAGGCCGCTAAAGCCAATGCCCGCATGACACTCGGCACTTGCCTGACCACATTCTAGCGCGGCTAGGCTTAAAAGGCCGTTGAAACGGGTGCCTTCACTGTGAAGTGCAGAGTCTTGTCGCAGCAAATGTAGTCGCTCAGCCACTCCTGTCGCGTTCAAAAGGCCCTGCTAGCAACACAATTGCAGGTATAGCACAGATACAGCTAAGTGAGCCTGGTACGCACGGCAATTATGCTTAGTTCGAACGATAACGATAGACAAGCGGATAGGTACGTAGGTGGGTAGATAGCTAGGTTGACAGGTTGATGGACAGTTAGATAGAAAGATGCATACATTCGCAGGACATATGAGCGTTGACCAATGTTCCGTCTTCTGATCTTCTACTTCGTGTGTTCTGTCATTGATGCCTTTCGATCGCAGAATTTTACCGCTGCATGATTCTAGCAGTTAATAGTAGCAGTGGTAGTCACAGCAGTAGTCGTCGTCGTCGTCGCAGTTGTAGTCGTAGTTGTCGTAGTAGTGATAGTAGTAGTAGTAGTAGTAGTAGTAGTAGTAGTAGTAGTAGTAGTAGTAGTAGTAGTAGTAGTAGTAGTAGTAGTGATAGTAGTAGTGATAGTAGTAGTGATAGTAGTAGTGATAGTAGTAGTAGTAGTAGTAGTAGCAGTAGTAGCAGTAGCAGTAGCAGTAGTAGTAGTAGTAGCAGTAGTCGTAGTAGTAGTAGTAGTAGTAGTAGTAGTAGTAGTAGTAGTAGTAGTAGTAGTAGTAGTAGTAGTAGTAGTAGTAGTAGTAGTAGTAGGTAGTAGTAGCATCAGAAGTACCGAAGACAAGTGCATGTGGATCTATGCTCGTGACATACTTGTACATGCACAGACTCATGCACGCACATGCATGTACGCAGTGCACATATACACTCACTACACACTAAGCATTCACATGCATGCGCGCATGCATGCATAGGACATGCTCACACATACATACGTAGCATGCATGCATGCATGCACATGCAAGCGCTTACTATCGCACGTAGTCCTCATGCCCGAAGCGGATTCAATAAGCCGGCCAGCGACAGTTGCCTTGTCATTGACGAGGACTTTGGTGTAGATATGCAGATTGCTGAACATTGCCGTCAACGTAAGCGCCCACTGCCTCATCGGCGGCTCCCTCCCCCTCTCCCTCTTGGTTCCTGTATGCGCACAGAAAATTCTCTGGACCCTCCCTATCGAAAACTCTGAGTTCCAGCTGGCTTGGTGCGGATATGTCAGCCGGCGGTGTGACCTCACTGCTTCGGCATCGCGCACCGTATCTCAGCACTGGCGCCTGTGTTGCACTGCCTCCCACAACAACCACACTTCGGTCGTCCATGAGAGGCCCGGCTGAGCATCATGCCAATGCATCTACGAGCTCCAGGGACTTGAGACCGGTGGCCCACAGAACGGCAATGTCTGTATCCTGGGAGCGTGTTCCCAAGCTCACGGACATCTGCGGAACATTGTGCTGAAATTGGCCGCAACACTGCCCCATCTGACATACGACAGAAGCACAGGCATGCAGTAGGTTGCTAAGGTGTCGAATGCTTGTTTTCAACCCTGCCTTCATCCCTCCATTCCAGTACATTCTTTAAAATACTCACTAGGGAATGCAGATCAAGCGAATCGGCAAACAAGGCTGGGCTGGGTCCCAAGCCACTCCTCCCCTGTCCGTCGTGATGTGTGCGAGCCGGCTACTTCCCTCGCAACTCCTGCGGTTCGAGCACACGGCATCCCTACCAATATCAGTTCATGCGACGGCGGCCGTCCTGTAGATCTCTGAGAGCGGACTGGAGAACAGCACTTCCCCGATGGTCGTCCGATAGTCCCACAGCGCCTCTGGGAAAGCTAAGGTTCCTTCGGCCTTCGCCTTCGACTTCCTTCGGAAGCCTCGCAGTCCCCGGCACTGTCTTTGATGTCACTGTGGATCTGTCGGTTCAGCTCCTTCCAGAAACTCACAGATCAAGGCATCTGTATGTCATCCCGTGGTGACTGCCCCGGCTCACCGGCAGGAGACGGGATAATGCGCCTTGGGTAGACGGGTAGCTCGACCGTAGATACTTTGCAGGTTACAGTTGACCCTTTGGTCCCACAACAGTTCGGCCGAGACACTGTTGACATCTTCGGTGGACTGCATGGTCGGGTCTCTTCGTGGGCCGTGACTGGAAGCAAAGCTGAAGAAGAGAGACCCGAGTTTCTGCGGACAACGGAAACAAGCAAGTCAGATCTCCTATTGAAAACAGCGGTCATGTGTCTGTCGCGCCTGTACAAGGTGACAGCCCAGAATGCCATAGTCGCCATTGGCAAGAAACCTGAGGGGTACACCAGAAGAAGCGTACCCAAAGCTGCTTCGATTGAGCTAGCATTGTGGAGCCCCTGCACTACAGCAAGGCTTGTTTGAGCCTTGACTTTGTCTGTGCATCAGGCAGCACAAAAACAAGAGTTGGAGATGCTGCAACACTGCTGTAAGACACTTCGAGCTTTCTGAGGAATGTGCCCCACACCAAGGCCCCGCCGGGCAACGAAGGGACCATGCCTCAAGCGATCTCAAGCGTCTCCCGCGATGGCAATGGCCGTGCACAGAGCCCAGATGGAAGTCTAAGAGCGTGGCTGTGGGTAGGGATGTGCTTCGGCTTTGTTACAGACTTGGCATATGAGAGCAGGCCATACCTAGCCAGGCCGCTAGGCAAGCATGGTCTGATCCCGCAAGATCCTGTAAGCCTTCGTCTGGTGCCGAGATCAGGCGCAAAGGTCTTTTCAAAAGCTCATTTCCTTTGCAAAAGCTCACTGCGTGAGCCATGGCAGAGGGCAGCGAGACTGCTGCGGGACGCAAATTCCAACGGATCTTTGCCGGACCGAATTCGCATTCTCAGGCCTCTGGTTCTGGTCAAGAGTCCATTAAAATTGGTACAAGAGCTACACTTGCTAAACTCTGATGCAGTGTTCCTCAACAAACCTGGACAAGTCCTCAGCTAAGTGCACAATAGGGCAGTGTGAACATGGACGAAGGACTAGCTCATGCGCTTCCGCAATGCTGCCTAGTCACTCTGAAAGCATCAACTGCAGGCTCCCAAACATGATGTAGTAGCAATGGCGCATGCACCCCGCCTGTCTCGTCTCGCCGAACAACCGACCCAGCACCATTCTACCCTCATCTTCGGCAATACCATATCTCAGAGCAACCCTGCCGGTACTCCGCAGATTTCCAAACGGGCATCGAAGTGCGCGGATGCACATCATTGACATGCAGGCCAGTACAGACATGTACTCCTGCATGCTTTGCGGGCGGCCCGCGAGATTTCGCACTGGCACCGACTAGCTAGCTGTCACTGGCGACAACCCTGCCCGAGCTCCAGGCCTCGAACGGGCACGAGAGTGACACTTGCACCCTTCTGTCGCCAAACACTGCCTCGGAGCGCCGAAATGCTCAAAGAAGGCGTCCGAATGCTGAATTGCCCGAGTCGCCAAAATGAGCAATCTGCCCGGCCAACAGCTCGTCCTCAAGTTAGCCGTTGAGATGCCGGGATATGCCGGGTGCCCCCTTAAAGGTCTGAGGAAACTTTTTGTTCGGCAGCCGTCCTCGCCGTAAACGACGAGAACAGGAGGGATCTTGTCCAGCGGACCTGGTGCAAAAACTGGCGAGTGCTGCCAATCGTTGTGGGGCAGATCTCCGCGAGTCATCGAAGCGCAAAACTCCACCAGGTCCGGGGGCCTCACGGGCTGCCGAGCGGAGCGCGGGGCGCCCTTACCCTTTCTTCGAATTCCGAGAACGTCAGGCCGGGCTCCCGGCAGGAAGTCGCGGTCCTCGTTGGAGAGCGTCGCGTTCCGCATCCCATCGTGGCCGAGGTCCGTCCAGGGAGAGATGAGGATGCAGCAAGTCGGAGGAGGCAACTCCAGCTCCTGTTGCACGCCGAGACATGCGACATGATGCGACATGCAAGGCCCAGCAACGAATCTGTGAGATCCTGAAGCTTGTGCATCATCGCTGCTGCGATTCCTCCGCCTGCAGAGTCCCCAGCCAGGATGATATCCGTTCCAGGCATGGTCTCAAGCAGGTGCCGGTACACCGCTATGGCATCCTCCAGCTGCACTCTCACTGGACCAGGCCGCTAGACCCTTCCTACCTTGGGAATCCAACGTGCCTTCAACCACCTTGTTTGCTGCAAGAAAGAATGCGACGCTAACTTCCATTGCCTTGTGTGCCAAGACTGGTGCTGTATGATTGCTATCCGGCCCGTTTCAACCAAGTCCATGTGCTGGTGCTTCTGCAACTCCCTGGTTCTATGCTGACTGACATTTGTAGAATGTGACGCTGCGTGAGATCACTTCAATACCAGTGGCCGGCGCTGCTGTTATTGCAAACCACCATTGCTTGTATCATAACTATAACGAAATTCGGTCATGACCTGGCGCTGCAGCGAAACGAGCTCTGCAGCGGACTTCATAGGTAGCTTCGGCTGGAACTGCTTTCTTATACGATTTGAACACTGATGTGCTTGTGCAAGAGGACGGTAGCCAGAGTGGAGACATGAAAGTCTGATGCCAGGCTCGCGAGGGTGGTGTCTTTCGGCTTCGTCAAGTTGAAAAAAACTGTTGGCAGCAAGTCAGCAGAGGCTGGGGAGGGTCATTGGCTGGGCGGCTCATGCAGTGAAATGATGCTGCCGCGGCCGCGGTAATGATGGTGGCTGTGGCTTTAAAACCTAGATAAAACATGGCTAATGTGCTGATGGTTCAGTGATGCTTGTGATGGTGCTCCTGATGAAGGTGATGCTAGTAATGGTGATGCCACGGGCATGGACCCTCGTAGTACGGTCGCCTTGGAATTTCTCTGACTCTCCAAGCGTCTTGCCGTCTCCCTAGTCCCGATGCATTAAGCAGCAGCACTCTCTGCACATCGTCCTCCATCGGCCCGGGAATCGGATGTTCCGGCGGCCGCCTGAAATCAGGTGCGCAAAGCGCCGCCTGCAGCATGGGAGCTGATGGAAGTCCACATCTTATCACATCTTGCCAGAGCCGTGCAAGCATGTGCAAGCTGCAACATGAAACAGGGCATCACTACCGAACAGTACGAGCTGTTTCAAGATGGCTTCACCTGTAGGGCGGCAGCGACATTGAACGTGATGCCCCGCAAGGACTTGGCAGTGCATAGCACGTAGGCGCCGCCGTGCAAGTAGAGCACCACACGCTTGAAGTCGCGTGGGCATCGGCCACCAACATCCGTGCAGCCAAAGCCGGGCAGCCATTTAAATGAGGCGCTGCGCTTTCTGCTGCCAGAAGCACTTTGGGGAACGAGCCACTCCAGCTGAATGGAGACCTCAGAAGCTGTGCCCACCGGATCGACAGGCATTTGCGAGTTCACCCACGGCCTCCGAGGCTTTTTCGCTCGCTGGTAGTCTCAGCGTATCAGACAGCACGGTCACGTCCTGGAAAGGGCGGGGGCAGGGCGGCCAAGCGCAAAAGTCCCTTAACTGCCCGTGGCCCTGGCCTGTCGAAGCAGGACCTGTGGTACAGGTAGATCGCATGCCAGCCGAAGGGCCAAAAGCCGTCGGGGAGTCAGTTCGGCGCTTTGCCGCAGCAGCTTTACCAACAGCCTTCATCAGGTCACGCCATGAATGCCATGTCATGCGTCACAGGGTGAGTGAGAAGTCTTTCGTCCGTACTCTAGCGCCAACACGGAGCCTGTGGCTGACACCTTGCCAGCAAACGGACTTGCCGGGCTTGCTCTTCCAAAGAGAGGGCAGCGAACCAGCACACCAAAAGTCCCGCCACGGCATGGGCTTCGTCCCCGAGAATCAATGTCGACGGGGGGCGGGCGATGCTTCTTACTATCCGGAGTTCAATGAGCCATGCACGTCTCTGTACCATTTCAGTGTCTCTGACCATATCAAGCTCTCTGTCATCTGCAAAGCCGACAAATGCTTCCCAGCAGACTCAACATTCAGCGCAGCATGACTTAACAACTACAATGAAGCCTGAGGGCTCGTTTCCGGGAGGTTAATTCTTAACTGCAGCGCGTGCCGCAACCAATAGCCGGGGCAGCGACATTCCGATACCTTAAGCAGCTGTGCTCAACTACTCTCAGCCCGGGCGAACTCAGTTCACTCAGGGGCAGACCCATGCACAGAATTGCAACCTTCAGGTCGCACGTGGACAGTGCGCTTTCACAACACAACACATTCTGCGGTGCAACATGCTAGTCGCGCCGAATTCACCACTAAGCCTAAATGCCTCAAAGCTGCCATGCCAACGGGCACCTCTGGAAAGTGAGCACACACCTCCACGACAGCCTGCAGAAACAGCACAGAATCTTGAGATTGCTAGAAACCGTCCCAGCATGTCCACCGGTCCTGTGACACACACACAGTACAATTCATACAGATGTCGATGCAAATTCGGAAAATCAGCCTTGTTCCGCGCTGTCACCATGTAGTACACCTCCATCAGGGGATGTGAGAGGTGCGCGAGTCTTGGTGAGGAAACTTGATTTCTGACTCTATGCTGCAACGCACTGACTGAGGCAGCGTCCAAGCAGAGCGATGCAGACCAAATATGGCATAAAACCTGCAGCCAGAGTATTACCGACTCACTACCCCAGCCACGCATTTGCTGCCATGTCGAAGAAGACTGTATTCGTGAACAACAGAATTACGCGTCTTCCTCTTCGTGTCGCAGTCATTACTCTTTAGTCATTGTAGTAGCTGTTTGCGGTGGCGAAACTTGTGGGCATCCCGCCCTCTGTCCCGCACACCGCATCCCTGACATTCGATCACAAAAGCGCGATCATCACCATCTTCGGGCTTTCGGGGCCTCTGGCTCGTACACCCAATGCTCATACAAGGCAAAACAGGACCTACAGTTCTGAGAACTTTGTGGCCCAAGGAAGTCTCGATATATGGAACAGAGAGATTGAACCGGACCCGAATGCGCTCAGTCACATTCCCACCAGAAATACCGAATCTGCTGACTGGGAATTGGTCCCTGGCCCATGGTCGCAAAATCGGCTCCCAGTAGCAGGCGGCGCGCGACACGTCACTGGCAGCGAGTAACAGCAAGTTGCAGCAGTGGGTTCTGAGCTTGCAGGGAAGCCACAATGACCAGTCTACCTGGTGAGCCCGGCCTGTGCACGCCATGGTGGAGCATGCGAGTCGCAAATAGAGCTGCCCAAACAGCAGGCAAGATGATCTGAGCACGACTGCTGTGTTCGCTTCGCCGTCTAGCCAGAAGAACCCCAATGCGGCCAAAACTGCCAAAATTCGCCCATCCTCCAGGAGACAACTCGGATCCCGGCCATGGTCGTGACGGCGAAGCACATCAAGAAACTGAACAGGAAAAGTGCATGCACATTATCATCAGTGCAGAAGAGTGGACGGACGTAGCAGACAGCTTGTCGAAGGCATGAGTTCTGCTGGTGGCGGTGGAACCTCTCGCTACTGCTGGGTCTCTTCACGACGCAGGATGTGACGGGCTCCTGGCTTCCATGCCTCTGCCGCATATCAGGGGAACTCAACCCCGTCCCGCTCGCTCAATTGTGCCCTGGCAGCCCTCTCCGATCCCATCGATCCTTCTCACCAGTCTTCTTCCCCTTCCCTTCGTCTGTCTGCATGCCAGACCCCTCGCGCAGCCTGCTCACGGAACCGATACTCTTCCACAGGTCGATGATCGAGGGGGCAAGCCCATGGATCATCAAGCCTGCGCGCATGCGTAGATTATTTCAGGGTTTTTCTCGCGAAGGAGCTTACCCATTCTCACATGGATGCTTGCCGGAAATTCACACATGAATAACCGTGGCTGCACAGATGCGCATTGGACTTCACGCATGTGCCCCATGGGCACATGGCTTGATTGACCCTGAATGAAGTAGCGACTTCCACGTGCCGACTCCGCAAAATCCTTCAGCCCAACAACATGCAAAATAAGACAACAAAAACTATCCCGCCGTCCGGAGCTGCATCTTTCCGCTAGCGAGAGCTGCGTGCACGACGAGGCTGCATGTACCATCGTCAAACTCAAGCATGTTCCGGTAGCACGAACTGAAGCAGCTTTCAGCTCGCAGGAGGAACACGAGGAACATCGCAAGCTAGGCAACCTCTCACATGGCTTCTTGGTAACGCTTTCTTCTGCCGTCCTTGCCGAGGGCTTGCATGATCAGCTTGCGTGCCTCAGCCAGGGGCCACGCGGCCAGAAATATTTCGCAGTGGTTGCTCTTGTCTTTAGTGCTCATCCCTCCGTCACCTCATTTCTCTTGTGCGCACGACCCCTCGCAATTCGTGCGCGTGGAAGGGAAGGCATCTAGGCCCGACTCCATAAGGGGACAATGCATGTCTTGCACACATCTTGCGCCGACCGGGCAGAAAGACGTAGAAATCGAAAAGGCACTCTTGATCCGCCTGAAAATGGCAAACACAAAACCCACCGCCACCATGAGGAAGTCCATTTTTGCAGCCGAGCTGCCGGTTCTCCACCGAAGCCCTTCAGGCGAGATCCTTCGTCCATGTCTGCAGCGTTGACCACCTGATGATATCTGCGGCAGGGGCTTGTACAGTGTACGGCCTGCACGCATGTCACGTTTTGTGGAACATTTTGAGATACGGTGGACTCTCAGATTGCGGCCACTGGCTGCTCGGCGATGCCGGGCAACAGCTTGGACTGGTGGGGCACCCCTTCCGGGTCTGTGAACCTGGTCTTGTCAGGTTATAATGCTGTCAAAGGAGGCATGCCCTTTCGTGTCGGAATTGGACCGCCAGTCCGCGCCACATGCCGACTGACAACACTTAAAATTAGCACGTGGCCATCGCCCTACACGCTGGGTAAGTGACCTCTCAATTTGAGGCCAAGCCCACAAGCGAACCTGTTGTCGTCGAGCGGCTGTGCCGAGATACAGTGCGACTCCTCCACGTCAGGGAGACCCTCGATGGGGGACGTCACCTGCGTCACGCAGGACTGGGTTACGGTTACAGCACGGTTCGGGTCTCACGCGCGAGGCACTCCAAACGTTGCTTGGTCCCAGCCACAGTCACAAGAGCCCCAAGTCCCATGCGCACCTCTCTGTTGGCACCTCCTCCTTGCCAGCCCTCCAAGGCCCCGAAGAGGTATCTGTCAACACACAAGCGGCTGCCACCGCCACTGTGCATTTTCCGCGCCAGCTGCTGTGATGCAGGGTGAGCACACACGAATTTCGTTGGGCATTCGTTTATCTCGGCTACACAAAGGGGACGGGCAAAATCCACGTTCCCCTGCCACCCGCCTGTCGCGCACAGTCCTAAGCGAGGGAACCCATTGGACCAAGGATGCCATCTGCGGAAGCACCCAAGGACGCAAGACAACATCTTTGCTTGGGCATTCAATAGTCACTAGCATGATGAAAAGGCCGGGATGCTGCTTCAGGCCAGCATGGCCGGCTTCGAAGGCTGCTTGTGCCAGCTGCACCGCATGGAACAAGGCCTGATACCGGGGGCACATCACGCCCACCTTGCAGAATGGAACGGCAGCCCGACCTTGTCCTGCTTGTGCCCGAAGACAAGCTCGTTGCCCCGTCGATTTCTGATCTGAGATCAGTCAGTCGCAGCTGTCGCTGCCGGCATGACTTCTTTCGTGCACCGGCATACCACAGGTTTCTGCCTTCTCGTGGGGCTTCAGCTTCGCCAGAAGCGGCCCCAACACCCGCAGCAGTCGAGGCTCATCTATGAATGGCAAGAGAACCACGGCCTGAACAGCTGAGGGCAGGTGCAACGACAAGAATAGGAGACTCTGAGTTTGGGAGCCTGCCATGTAAAGCGCTTGCCATTCAGATCCAAGCCGAAGTCCACTGGATAGAAATCGATTAGCCTGCTGCACATACAGGTGTCTCTCAGACTCCCAGACTGGTGCCCAAAGACGCACGCTGTTTTGATTGGACTGAACTTCATGCCGGGAGACGGAGAGAAGGCCTGCTTCATGAGTTCGCGCATTGGGCCTGGGATGCCGGCCTCGCAGCAGCGGCATTCAGATCTCTGCAAACGGCGATTCGCCTTTTTGGTCCGCTTGCGGTCGCCTCTTCGGCGCTGACTGGCGGGAGGACACTCATCAGTTGCTGGAACGGCTGGAAGGGCTGCCCAGACCTCAGTGCATATGTGCTGCGGTTGTGCAACTGTAACACTCTCCCAGCAAATGAACAGCAACCCTACAAACGAAAGGATGATCTGCCAGATGGCTGGAAGTAGGTCAGCTCCCCGCACTTGAGGTTGCCGCACCCAATCAGGTCAGAGGCAAATGGCCTTGGGTCTTTTTTTGAATCTGTTCAACAGGTTGTGGCAAAACTTGAGACATGGCTTGACATGGTCACAGTGTCGACAAGAGATGTGCACTTTGATCTGGACCGGGCTGCGCTGTGCTGCCACGCTTCATTTGCCAAATTTACATCCGAAGCCCATCTTAGTCGCTTAGCCAGGGAACGCATAGTGATAAGGATAGAACCAGGTCCAGGACGGGCAGCCCTGCCAACTGTGGCAACGATGGGAAAGCACAAACACGTGCAGGCCTTGAAAAACAACAACCTCCGAGCCTGGTAGTAGTAGACAAGGACCCAGCACAAGCCCTCGACGTAGGCTTTTCGTATTCTCTGCAGGAAATCGACAAGGTCATCCTATGATGTTCGGAGATGTGCAGGATGGCTCAGAAAACCGTGGGGACATGTAGCCATGCATGTTCGGCAACTCTCCTGTTTCACTTTGAACTTTTCGAAATAGTAGCGCCTCGGCTCCCCCCAAACAAAACGACGCAAATGCGGCCAAACCCAGGCTACACCTCTACATATTCGCTGCATCATGATGCGATTTTCACAACAGAACTGGAACTAGGATGAATGATTCAGAGCAGGTCGCACTTTGTCAATATGGTTGATATGTGCAGAAAGCTTGAGGTCTGGTAAAGTCACAATTCAAACATTTGCCGAGGTACTGCTTCCAGTGCGGTCCCTCTCCAAGGCGGACTGTGTCAGGCATGGCCTGAGGGGAGGGTTGTAATCTGTCGGCGCCTCCTAGAAGTTTCTCAGACCCCAGCTTACTGTCCGGGCCTCGCCCAAATCTTGCCTGTTGTTCAGGCGATCTCGGAGAGCCTGGGCTACACTGTTTCGCATAGGGGGGAGTGCTGCTGCTTTGAATCCCCTTAACAGTCAGGGACTTCTTTGGGCACCCAGGCCTGGTGGAACTCACGGTCGACGATCTTGCCCGATTTGGCCTGCGCTGCATCTCTTGAGCAAGGCCGTGCTTTGCGAGTAAAGAACCGGCAGTAGGATGTCAATGTGCCATCAGACCCTCGCAATGAAGCGGGTGCGGTCCTTGTTCTCCTTCGGCTTCGGTGGATCGAGAGTGGGCTCCTACATGACAGATCACACGAAGGGCAAAAAATGATTCTCGTAACCGCGTGCCCTGCGTGCCCTGTGTGCACGCTGCAGGCTGCGCATCTCCTGGCGCTGTCGCTTTGCCGGTGGCTCTGGCGTCTCCAAGTTCTCGAAATCCATGGAGAAGCTCTGGGCCTTGGTTTTGGACCACGCAAAGCTACGCAGCTACGTACTTGCAGACTTGGGGTGTGCATCTGAGTGCTGGCAATGCTACCAACAGCTGCGCGTGGAAGGCACTGGTGTCCGAGGCCTCCTCTTTCGGCATGAAGTCGGCAGTGCCAGTGCTGCCTGCGGCTTGATCTTGATCGCTTCGCAAGCTGAGAACCCAGCCGGAACATCTGAAAAATTGCGTGCCTTCACCAGCCAAATCTGCACCCATCTGACCTCCTGCTGAGCCACCAATATCCTGAAGTAAGATGCTGAGTGCTGACAGGACATTCCGACACTGGCACAGCAAGACTCTCACCATCTCTCACCTAAGTTCACGTTACGTAGTGCAGATCCACACTCCTTCGACAAGATCATATGGCTACTCTGAAACGGCCTCCTCCTTGGTCTCCTTGCTGCGCTCTTCTTGCCTTTCAGCTCTCATCTTCGCCTCCCTTTCCAAGCGGTTCTTGAAGACCTGAGAAGACCAGAAGCAAGGCCTGTGGCACCGGCCTGTGGCACTTTCAGCTGCGCAGTTCGACCCTGTGAGCAAGAAACAATGGCCTGGTCTTCAATACCGCCCAGATATTCCAGGAACTGCTCAACTTGAGCCAGGTTCGTTTTGCCACAGTCTGTCAGGTAGTCTTCCAGCGCTGGCAGGATCTCAACCTTGATTCCGACCACTCGGAATGCCAAGCACAACTCTCGCTCTCTCTCTCTCTCGCTCTCTCGCTCTTTCTTTCTTTCTGCAGGGCGTAAGGGGTCGCGCGCGCCCCCCAGGCCTAGGCCCGCCCAGCCCACCCCCTGTATTATGGAGTGGCTGGTCTTTGGGGTAGTCCAGACTATGGCAATGTACAACCCAGTGTGTTGTGGGCATACAAACAGAAAGCCCCCCCGAACACTAAACACAGAAACAACCCGCGCCTCGTCCCCGCGCCCCTTCGGCTTAGAGTCCTTAGCCTAATCAAGTTCGGGAGGGCATGAAAAAGCCGGCCGAATTCCCCTCCTGCCAGAAGCAGTCGGGGTGACGAATTATTGTAGAAGGCGGATCGGACATCGTCAAAAGACGGGTTTGCAATGAATTGGCAAAGAGGCGGAGCGAGCTGTCAAATCGTGACAACGTTGTTTTCAAAGGCTACTGGAAGGCATGGTAAAGAAAAGCGTTCCTATTTGCTTTCCCCCAGCAAGGCTCAATCCCCCGAGTTGCGGTAAGGACTGCGCTAAGAACAAATACAGTACAGAACACATGCATCCCCCCGGCAAGGGTTGACTATGAAGAAAACGTGAAGTGGGCAAGGAAGGAAAGAGGAGCTACACAAGGCACTTCACCCTTCTCTCCCCCTCGCACTCAGGCTCGGAAAACTTTTTCGCGCTCTCACTTGACTCACTGCGGCTCCTCGGCGTTACTTCCCCCAACTCTTCGTCGGGCCATGTGCTCCTGCACCTCCCTCACTTGCCAGCCTATACTCGGCAGCAGGTTCGCTGTCGGTCTCCCCCTGGTACCACTTTGTGCGGCAGCACTTGGGTCTGTAGGCTGGTGTGGCCTTTTGTTCCGCGGCTCCCCCGTTGTCGTTCTGGGCTCTCCTTCTGGTTCTGCGGGTTTCCTGCGGTCAACAATGTTCCTTCTCGGTTCCCCCAACGGCTGCGCTGGCTTCGTTTGGTTAGCTTCTCTGTCTGAAGGTCTGCCATGTGCTCCCCACGGCCATTGTGGGTCAACGTCCTGGTAGTCGTGGTAGTCCACCTCGTTGTGCCCCCCCGTGGCTGCACCATGGTCGTCGTCGTCTGGTGCCTCCCCGTCCTCATCTGCTTGGCTGGTTTCGCTTCACCAGTCTGGTGGTGTATCTGAGGTACTGTCTTCCTTTTTCGCACTGGTCGCTGCCTTCCCCCTCGAGCTGCTGGCTGTCTCGGTCGGCTTGGCTGTGGTCGGCACGGTCACCTCGTCTGGCTCGCGTTGTGGGTCCCCTTTCGTGGCTCGGCGGTGTGCTGCTCCTGTCCCCCTCTGTGCTTGCTTCTTCTTCTTCACCTTGCGGGCATCCTTCAGGAGTTTTGGGATGCGGTGAGGAAAGCGCATTATGAAGGCACGCGTCTCGTTGGTGATGCGGGGCATGAACTCATCCGTGATTTTCACCAACTTGTCTGCAGCTGCTCCTAGGGCTCGGCGTTGAGAAAGTCTCCCCCTATAGCTGGCATAGGCCTCCCGGTCGCTCTCCCCCAGCAGCTTCCCCTTCTCGTCGTAGAGCTCCCCGGTCTGATCGTTGCGCTGTATGTTGCGCCCGATCCATGCATCGAGTGGACTTGGGTGGAAGAGGAGGTGCAATCCCCCACGTGTTTCGTGCTGCACCATGCGGTCAAGACTTGTGGCACGTCTGGAGGAGCTAGCATCCCCCCCCTCGTGGCCTTGTGCTCGTGGCTTTGCTTTTGGGCTGGCCACTGAAACATTGGCTAAGCTTGCAACTCCGTGCAGCCGACACGCCGGATCACTTCTCACATGCACCTTCGGCATGCCGGGTTTGCATATCCCCCCAGCTTCCCTGCAGAGTCGACACTGCATCTTCCCAGGAAGTTTGCCTTGGGTTCCGCGAGGATGTAGTATGGCGGTCCCCCCCTACTGACGGGCCACCTCCCGAAGGAGGGCCGTGGTCAAGGGGTCCCGTGAGTGTAAAACCCTTAGGGCCACTTAAGCAACATGAGCAGCGGCGTGCGACTCAAGCGCCGCTGGGGAAAGCAACACGGCTCTCCTAAGGCTTACAACCTTAGGCCAACCGCGTGCCTCCCCCCCCGTACCAAGTAGGTACACTAGCTAGCGTATCCTCCCGCCACCTCCCACTACACCTCCGGGAGTACGTAGCAAGCCTAGCTAAAGCTAACCGGCTTCACGCAGTAGCACGGACAACACGAACTTCTCTCTTTTTAGCGTTGTGGCGAAGTCCCGCGTTAGCCCGGAGAAGAACTCTAGGCGAAGTCCCGCGTTAGCCCGGAGAAGAACTCTAGCCTTTGGCTAGCTAATCTCCAGGGTGGGTTGGGTGGGCACTCGAAATTTGCCCCCCAATAGCTGGGGGCCTTTCAGCACAATGGCCACGGGGTAGCACTGCTTCACCGGCCATGTGCAGTCACTCTAGCAAACAGACAAGCTTCGTTCTGTTTAGCTTCAGAGGAAAACCCCTTCGACGTTTTCTAGCGAAACACCTTCGATGTTTCCCCAAAGGGATACTAGCGCTAGCATACACTGTCGTACCTCGTCCCTCGGCACGAGTGCGTACACTAGCTAGCGTATCCTCCCGCCACCTCCCACTACACCTCCGGGAGTACGTAGCAAGCCTAGCTAAAGCTAGACGGCTTCACGCAGTAGCACGGACAACACGAACTTCTCTCTTTTTAGCGTTGTGGCGAAGTCCCGCGTTAGCCCGGAGAAGAACTCTAGCCTTTGGCTAGCTAATCTCCTTGCGCAGCCGTAGGGCTACCAGGGACCTAGCTTACGGGCCTTCTTAGCGAACCTCGGAGCCTTCGGCTCTCTGGTCCTTTTCCTCACTCCTAGCTCTTGGAAGTAGCTAGCCGAGTGTTCGAGGAGACGGCCCAGCACGCGCCACTCTAGCTTTTCCCCCTCCAGGTTAACCCTGAAGTCCGGGGAGAAACTAGCGAAGTTCTCGTTCGTGAGGTCGTCCGCTAGCTGGTTGAGATCCCTGCGGATCCACTGTAGCTGAAGCTCACAGTTCTTAGCGGAGAGTTCTTCCGCTAGCTCCATCAACACCAGCGTCGACGGGAACTTCGTCGTCATAGCTTTCTTCAGTAGCGCTTCGTTGGATTGGTTGTCGGTGTAGCCGCGGATGGCCACCTTGGAGGTCTTCTTAGCGTCCCCCTCCGGTACCCAGAGCCTCACACCGACCAGAGTAGCCAGTAGCTCTAGCGCGGCTATGACTTTGTTCGGGTCCCCCTTAGCGAAGGCCCAGGGGGCCCATTCCTTCTTCACCTCTAGCGAGAACCAGGGGCCGTGGCAGCCGTCCACTAGCTCGAGGAAGCCCCCAATCCAGGCACGTCCGTTCTCGGCCTTAGCGTCGGTGTAAAAGGAGAGCGGTGCCGCGCCGTCCAATAGCGGAGCCGGCTTCTGGAGACGGCCCCCGGCTGCCAAACGGTCTGCTAGCCAGCCACAGAGGACGCGAATCATTGTGGGTAGCGTGAGGATCCCCAGCTTCCCTTGTACGGCTGAAGACCAAGCGTGTAGCGGTCCCAAGAAGGGGCGCTCCCAGTCTAGCGCCATGGAAGCGAACCCCAGGCGCCCTAGCCCCTGCGCAAAGGACCGGGCCTCGCACTTCCCGTCACGGACTAGCTTCCGTAGCCATTCCACTAGCCAGTCGGTTCTCTTCTGAAACAGACCTAGCCTCCAGGTGGAGTACTCCGTTTCCATGCCTAGCCACTCCACCCGAAATCCCCCCCTCGTCTTGGCCCACTTGAAGGGGTACCCAAGACTAGCGAGGAAGAGATAGCTTAGCGGGATCCCCATGCGCCCTCTAGCCCCCCGGCCTAAGGACTCGAGGTCGTCGGCATAGAGGAGCATGTCTAGCGGGAACGATGGCCCTAGCAGGTGGTACGTGAGCCGAAGCCCACACGCCGCTATGCGGGTCCACCAGTAGCTCGCACAGGATAGCCCGAAGGTCCCCACCAGGTTAACGTAAACCGTCTGGCTGTCGGGGTCCCCCGGTGTAGCTTCCTCGGTGTCGATCTGACACCCCAGGTAGCCATGCTCTCCTTCAGCATGCTTGTAGCGTCGGTGAGCCTTAGCGATGTCGCCCACCACGGAGAAAGCCACCTCGTTAGCGTCGATGTGTTCCCGAAGTAGCTGCTTCTTCTCCCTAGCTCCCGGGGCCCGGATCTTATCCCTGCACTTGATGCGGTGGTTGACCCGGACCCCGTGAGTAGCGTCGTGGATCATCCTCTTCTTTCCACTAGCTTCGTCCTCGACGATGACAGCTAGCGCAGCGATGGCTCGGTGCTCGCCGTAGCGGGCTTTGAACTCGCCTAGCGTCATCTTGACCATGAGGCCCTCCGCCACGTCCTCTTCGAACTTCTCCCTAGCGAACTCCCGGTGTTCCTCCACCGAGGAGTAGTTCGGGACCCAGGCTAGCGCCGCCTCCCAGGGGGCGTTCTCCAAAGGCCACTTTAGCTGCTCCTCGAAGACGTGGGGAGTGCGTGGTAGCGGGTCTCTCACCCCCACCGGTAGCCCCTCCTCGGCCTGGAGGAGGAAGTCTCTGTCGGGATCACCGGCCGCAGTCAGTAGCGCCCGGATGAGGCGGAGGTATAGCGGTTGCCCCGGGGCCACCTTTAGCAGCTCCGGGTCCCCCAGGTCGTTAGCTTCCAACCACTCTTTCCAGATCAAGCGTAGCTGCTCCTGGAGGTCTTCGGAGCTAGCCAGGGCACAGCCCTTGGCCCCTCCGGCCGCCATTCGGAAGGCTTCCTTCTCTAGCTCCGCCTCCGAACCCACCTTAGCGAGGATCACCTCCATCATCTTCTCCCGTAGCCAGTTCCAGTTGGGACCATCGGCATAGCTGCGGGTAGCGTGGGGCCAGCGTCCTGGGGAGCAGAGGCCCCCACCATCGTGGTAGCTCTTGTTGCCACCTAGCTGTTGGCAGGTCCTTGGTGGTCCTGAACCCCCTAGCACTCGCGGACCCTCCGGCTCACAGGTCGGGAAGGTCTCGGGTAGCGGGCACTCCGGCCTAGCGCCACCCCCCTCCCCCTGGGCAGCGGTAGCAGGGTGCTGGCAGGAGTCCAGAATCAGGGTAGCCAGCCACTGGCACATCCTAGCGGGCCACTTCTCGGAACCTGAGGTCTTGAAGGGGCCCTTAGCGGTGCGTTTGAACATGCGACCCAAGGTAGCAGCAGAAGGCAGCGGTCCTGTGTAGCAGCCCTTTTTGTCATAGCACGGCAGGCCTTCGTGCACAAAGTCTGGCATAGCGGAAGAACACTTCAGGAGTAGCCGTGTAGGCTTAGCGTATGGCGTACCAAAACTAGCCTGGTGGAAGACGGTCCGTAGCCCCTTTTCCAGAAGGGTGGCTAGCGGCGGCCACTGCCACATAGAGGCCGGCCGTGCTCCTTTGTGCGGGCCCTTAGCGAGGGCACCAAGGTCCTCGGGCTGCTCCATGGCCAGGAAGGTAGCTGCACCATCGGCCACGAGATTAGCGACCTCAAAGCTGAAATCCGCAAAAATGTTGCCTAGTATAGCTCGATCGCGCTCTGCAGGTGTTAGCGTCTCCAGGCCTCGGGGAAACTCGTAGCTGCGCACCGGGCGGGGCCCTTGGAAGTTAGCCCAAGGCGCCCTGGAGAAACTAGCACACGGCGGGGAGAGAACCACGGCATGGAACTCTTTGCTAGCGATCCGGTCCAGGTAGCTTTGCCGGATCTTGGGATGGCTGAGGTCGTATTTAGCGTGCCGTAGCAGGTCGACACATTCGACCCGCACATCTTTCCCGAGCTCTGCTGCTAGCTGGTGCAGGCAGTGCGCCACATCTAGCCGGCGTGAGGTACCTGAGAAGAGGTACAGCACCCGTAGCGGCTTTGTCGGCGTAGCGGCCGGCGCTGCTGGCGTAGCGGCCGGTGAGTCTGGCGTAGCATCCCCCCCGGGGGGGGTCACAGGCACTGAGGGCGCAGCCGCCGTAGCGGGTCAGTTGGAGGGCTTGTCCTCCTTAGCTGCGTCGGTCTGCTTGCTCGGGCACTTGGTAGCTGGGTGCTTGCCGAAGCATAGCGAGCAAACGTGCTCGAAGTGGCACTTGCTGCCATTCTTGCATCCCTTAGCATTGTAGCGGAAGCAGATGGGCTTCCCCTGCGGGGTGCGATCGGCACCCAAGCGTTTCTTAGCTTTGCCCCCTTTGGGGGGGCCGTCTTTGCCTTTGCCCTTCCCCTTGGGGGTCTTAGCGGGCCGGTCCTCCGTGGAGGTCCAGGGCTGCGGCCGCTTGGCATGGAGGGCTAGCGGCGTCGTGAAGTGCCGCTCCTTCACGCTAGCGTCCTTGTAGGCCAGGACTAGCGCAGCGCCGAAGGAGTAGCCGGCTGTGGCCATGACCTTGTAGGCGTGCTTCCTGATAGCGTGCTCGTAGCTGAGGACCAAGGTCCACGGGGGCACTAGCGACCCCGAGTCGGCACTGGACCGGAGACCATAGCAATAGTCTCCGAGGAGATAGTCTTTATAGCGCTCGAAGAGGGCCATGTTGACATCCTTTAGCTCCTCTCGATTGGGGTGTTTTAGCTGCATCATAATTAGCGTGTTCTGGAGGACCGTGAGCCGCAGCCGTAGCTGCTCCGGCCCAGAGGGCATGGGGGCCCTAGCTCCGCCCTTCTTCATGGATAGCGTGCCATTGC